CGACCTCCCCCGTATGCTATCCGAACCAATCAGAATGCAGCGCGCCTAAATGGAGCACGAGAACAGAACAGACCGGGCGGGCATACAAACGTAACGCCAGGTTCACACACTGCGTCTGTGGTGCGTATTTTTTCCGCGCCCATGTTAACGGATCAGAGCGTTCACACTGCATGCGATTGCGGTCCGGCAGTGTGCTCCAGGAGCGGTGCGTCTGCAGCAGTGCAGCGATCGTTTCCGCAAGGAGTCTATTTCTGCTGTGCTGCACGTGCTGAATTAAAGTGACAGCGCATTATTCGCGGTAAAAATTAACATGGATTGACACGGAAATTTAGTAATTACACCATAAATGTATATAATTAAAGTCTACTGTTTCACAGTCAACACATGGCTTTTTGGCTAGATTTAAAACAAGGAAAAGTGCACTTTTAGATAAGCAAGGCAATAATAGATGGCACTCGTGGTGGTAGTTAAATAAAGTTATATTTATTGAGTTTAAACGTGAATATGTCTATGAAAGATTGTATTACTGTACTGTGATAAAAGAGAATCACAATGCTGAAAAAGCATTTTCAGAAACCACGTTTGGATTTGAAATCAAAATAATGGATAAATGTTGTGTTTGTGGTAAACAGCTGCGGATCAGGAGCGGACTGCAAACGCATTTTGCTTTCGCACAGGATGAGTCCGTGCTGCTTCTGCACCGCATACACATACTGTATACGCACTGCAGACGGAGTACGTGTGAACTTGGCGCAACAAATCTAGTTCAACATCTGAGGCAACGCCACAAAGAGCTCTATGACCAATGCATGGCAAAAAAAAATCCCTGGACACGGGATTTTTTTTTTCTTTTTTTTTTCTGCCATATGTCTATTCTAGAGACATTTTGTTACACCTTTACTTAGTGATTGTTTTGGCTTATGTCTGCTCTAGAGACATGTTACAGCTTTTTGATAAAGCTCTAATTGGTTTTCTTTTGGAAATATGTTTCAAATTCACAATGAATGCATTAATGACTGTAAAGCATGTCTGTGTGTGTCAAAATCGTGATTAAAATCGAAATCGCAAAATTGATCAAAGAAATCGCGATAGGTTTTTTTTGTCCATATTGCACAGCCCTACTCAGCACAGTGTGATCTCAAAGTCCTCTGCAGTCTGAGCAGCACGAGAAAAGAGGCGAGAGGGAGGAGAGGGATGGGGGATGAGGTTAGGTTTACTGCAGCACACACAATGGCAGCTGTGATTTATGTGGACTGCTGGCCCAGTTCTGTGGGCTGTAGGGGGAAGCCCTCACTTACCAACATCTCATGTGCTGGCTCACACAACAGCAAAAAGTCAAGACAATGACCAGACTAAACGAGCTCTGACTGAGGTACATGCAGTAAAACTACTGTTATCACTGTTATCAAAGAAAGAACTTTGAATTTACTTATATAGTTTTACTATATCTGCATCACGTATTTCCCTGTTGATGTATTGCGCGTACATTTCGAAATGTCAGAAGGGTATGAAACATGGCGGGAGCCACTATGTATATGTTCTCACGTTTGGTTATATTAGTGCGTCATAATCAGGAACTTCATGAAGATCGGCTAGATGCAGTGAATGTCGAAAAACAATTAAAGATGACAGCCAGAATGACAGCATCAAATCTTAGAAGGTATCACATCTTAAAGCGCATCCACAAAGGTTAGCAACATTAACTCACATATATGCTGCAGTGTGTCCTGTTGAAAACATGAACGAAAAATCTTGCCTTAAACCGAGCACAACGTTTCATTCTTTTCGTAATATACACAGAAACGGCTTTTCTCTCTCTTATTGTACTTGGGTGTGTGTGTGTTCAGGCTTGACTAATCATAAAGCAAAAACTGACGCTTCAAATAAACATTCTGATCATCTCTAAACATTTATTCAGATGCAACACCTAAAAGTAATTATGTCTACTTACTGTCTATTTAACGTTTTAATTGGTGCGATTAATTATGGAAAAAATAATGTGTATGTGTTTATATATGAACTATGAACTATAAACTATGTATGATATAGTTTAGCAATATCACACAAGCAAGAGTGCTGTTTTTTCCAAATATCTGCACGATTGCAAATGTGATATTGATTTTATACAACTGTTTAATAAAAAAGAAGTTAATATTACGTGAAATTTTAGACAATATTGTATTGTCTGCTTTGCACAATTTCGCAAATGATCCATGATCGATCGTCGTTTAAATTAATTAATAACAATTAATTGTGCGCGGGTTTGGCTAGATGTATTTGGAGGTTATTACTCACGTCTCATTCGGCACAAATCCAAATGTTTCCATATTCGCAATGTATTTGAATGTTAAACTATTATTTATAATGTAAACTAGGCTTGTACTTTACACGCATTCGCATATAGACGGAAAAGATCATCCTCTTCACATGAGCAAAAAAGTCCTTGGCATAACAGCAGAGTGGACCGGTATACTACGGTCTATTTAAACTGACCAGTGTAAGTTTGAATTGCTAGAATATGTGGGGTGTGTGCGCGCGAGGTGATCGAACAGCTGAAACATAAAAAAAACTTGTTTATGGAGCGCCGCGCCACACTTCTGTTTTAAATCTGTTAGCTT